GTGGCTCATGTTTGTAATCCCAGCACTTTGGGAGGCCAAGTCAGGAGGAGCGCTTGAGCCCAGGAGTTGGAGACGAGTCTGGGCAACACAGCAAGACCTTGTCTCTACAAAAAATATATATATCTATTAGCTGGGCGTGGTGGCATATGCCTGTGGTCCCAACTTTTCAGAAGGCTGAGGTGGGAGGATTGCTTGAGCCCAGGAGGTTGAGGCTGCAGTGAGCCATAATCATGCCATTGCACTCCAGCCTAGGCAACAGAACAAGATCCTGTCTCAGAAAAATTAAAACAAAATAAAACAAAATAAAAATTACAATAGAGAACAAAATATAGAGAATAGAGAAGAAAATAAAATTATCCTTAAATCTTTCTGTTCAGCCACTGTTAACTTTTTTTTTTTTTGAGACGGAATCTCGCTCTGTCGCCCAGGCTGGTATGCAGTGGCGCAATCTTGGCTCACTGCAAGCTCTGCCTCCCGGGTTCACACCATTCTCTTGCCTCAGCCTCCCAAGTAGCTGGGACTACAGGTGCCCGCCACTATGCCCAGCTAATTTTTTGTATTTTTAGTAGAGACGGGGTTACACCATGTTAGACAGGATGGTCTCGATCTCCTGACCTCGTGATCCACTTGCCACGGCCTCCCAAAGTGAGCCACTGTTAACTTTTTGATGTATTTCAGATTTCAGTATCATCTTTTTTTTTTTTAATGTATTTTTTTTCTTTTTCTTTTTCTTTTTTCTGCTTTTTTTGAGACAGAGTCTCACTCTGTTGGCCAGGCTGGAGTGCAGTGGCGTGATCTCGGCTCACTGCAAGCTCTGTCTCCCAGGTTCACGCCATTCTCCTGCCTCAGCCTCCCGAGCAGCCAGGACTACAGGCACCCGCCACGATGCCCGACTAATTTTTTGTATTTTTAGTAGAGATAGGGTTTCACTGCCAGCCAGGATGGTCTCAATCTCCTGACCTCGTGATCTGCCTGCCTTGGCCTCCCAAAGTGCTGGGATTACAGGCATGAGCCATCACGCCCAGCCTCTTATTATTATTATTTTTTTAAGACAGAGTCTTACTCTGTCACCCAGGTTGGAGTGCAGTGGCACAACCACGGCTCACTATAGCCTCAACCTCCCAGGCTCAGGTGAACCTCCCACCTCAGCGTCCCAAGTAGCTGAGACTATAGGCACATGTCACCACACTTGGCAATTTTTTTTTTTTTTTTTTTTTTGAGACACAGTCTCACTCTGTTGCCAAGGCTGGAATGCAGTGGCACGATCTCAACTCACTGTGAACTCTGCCTCTCAGGTTCAGGTGATTCTCCTGCTTCAGCCTCCCAAGTAGCTGGGATTACAGGTGTGTGCTACCAGGCCCAGCTAATTTTTGTATTTTTAAAAGATGGAGTTTCACCACGTGGCTAGACTGGTCTTAAACTCCTGACTTCAAGTGATCCACCCCCCTCTTCCTCCCTAAGTGCTGGGATTACAGATGTGAGCCACTGCGCCCGACCACCAGCTAATTTCTTTCTTTCTTTCTTTCTTTTTTTTGAGACGGAATATCGCTCTCTCTGGAGTGCAGTGGTGCAATCTCGGCTCACTGCAAGCTCCACCTCCAGGGTTTACACCATTCTCTTGCCTCAGCCTCCCGAGTAGCTGGGACTACAGGCGCCCGCCAACACGCCTGGCTAATTTTTTGTATTTTTAGTAGAGACAGGATTTCACCATATTAGCCAGGATGGTCTTGATCTCCTGACCTCCTGACCCACCCGCCTTGGCCTCCCAAAGTGCTGGGATTACAGGCGCGAGACATCGCGCCTGGCCTAATTTTTTTTTTGTAAATTTTACAGAGACAGGGTTTCACCATATTGCCCAGGCTGGTTTTGAACCCCTGGGTTCAAGTGATCCTCCTGCTTTGGCCTCCCAAAATGCTGGGATGCTAGGCATGAGTTACCACACTCAGTCTATATTTTTTCTTTAAGAAATTGGTTGTACAGGCAAGCAGAGGCCAGACCATGTAGAGTCTTGTTAAAACTTAAAAATTTTATTGTACGTGCAAGAAAGAGTCTTAAAGGATTTTAAGTAAAAGAGTATGTGTATATTTAGCAACTATCCTTCTATTTGTATTTTACCAATAGTATTTTAATAATCAAGTATGGTTGTTGCATGTTTAAACAGATGCTTTTATAGTACCTATCACAGTTAATAGCTTTCCTAATACTGAACTTGCATTATGCTTGCATGCCAGTATAAAGTACTGAAACTAACTTGCTAATGTCTTATGTAGGCTTTTGTATTCATATTTATAAATAAGATTGGTCAGGCCAGGCGCAGTGGCTCATGCCTATAATCCCAACACTTTGGGAGGCTAAGGCAGGTGGATTGCTTGAGCTCAGGAGTTCGAGACCAGCTGGGCAACATCGTGAAACCCCATCTCTACAAAAAATACAAAAATTAGCCAGGCGTGGTGGTATGTACCTGTAGTCCCAGCTACTCAGGAGGCTGAGGTGGGAGGATCACTTGAGCTCAGGAGATGGGAGTTAGCAGTGAGCCAGGATCACACTACTGCACTCCAGCCTGGGCGATGAAGACAGACCCTGTCTCAAACAGACAGACAAAAACCATTGGTCCACAGCTTCTTTGTGTGTTTGTGGGCCACTCTTACTCACTTTGTAATATGACATCTGCATTAGCTTCCATATTAAACTTGTATTCACTTATTGCCAATTTCAAAAGACTAGAATGAAATAATATGGTTTCCTTGTTTCACTCATTATATTGATATAAAGTTTAATGGTTTGGTAGGATAGCATACTACATGTATATGATCATATTTACTAAGTAACAAGATTTGAAAAGAAAGGACATTTAATAAAACAAACACAAAAACCTATTATCTCTAAATATGCTTAAAAATAAAACCCAAAGAATCTACGATCAATATTTATTTACCACCCAGTTTGCAATAAACTTACGTTTTCTTCTTTATATTTGAGGAAGAAAAAAGAAAAAGAAGTCCTCCCAACATTTTTATATCATAGCAGTGACAGGTAAGGACTCGGACCTATGAGAGCAAAGGTCCAAAGTTCAAACAGCAGAGAAAGTGCCATGGAAACTATGGGTATTCAATAAGTATTGACCAGTGGTAATGACAAAAAGTAAGGTTATTGTGTTTGGGGATAACAGAAAAATACAAAAGATAAGATGATGCCTCCTTGAGGGAATTACTGTGACAGAGGCATCATTAAGGAAGTCTTAGGTAGACAGTGATTGGATAGGGCTATTACGATGGCTATAAGTAGCCATGGAACTAGATAGCATTACAACTAATTGGTCATTTAGTCCATTTTCAAAATAAATATCTCCCACTGAGACCTAATAGACCATGCATTGATCAGCAATCGATAAGACTGTTAAAGTGATTGGGTTGGTTTTACAGCGGCCTAATAATTTAGTACCAATAGAAACACTCAGTGGATTACTCTGAATATCACTGTGAAACGCAATTTTGGTAACCAAAGAAAAAGAACAACAATAGAAGTTAGAAAGTGGGGGAAAGTGTTAACAAATTTGACTTCAGCATTAAAGGATTTATTCTACTAATGTAAGATCTCAGCTAAGGTGAATTGCTAGCATACCACATTTTTTTTCTCTCTACCAGTTACTCAGTTTTGAGGCAAGAGAACAAGAGAGAGAAAGAATAAATATAATATGAATGTTTAGGGAAGTAGATTCAGAGTAAGAGAAACTGTGTATTCGTAAATCTTAACATCTGATGGATTATCTGGTTTTAGATTACTCACAATTGTTTCACAGTTTTAGGAGTACCTAAGTGATGATTCTTTCCATCTGTGGAGTTTGCTGTTTCCCTATGAGACTAAATAATTATTGCAAGGTACCTTCAGCTTGTAGTAAGTTCCTTTCAATACCAAACTCTTTCTCCTTCGACTCTTCATAATCACTCTAGCAGGTAGTGAACATTATTTACATGTCTGAGTTATTAGTGTTTTATTTAAACCCTTATATGGTAGATGTGAAATCATATCCTTGGATTATATTTACCCACTGCAGTCTACCCTGTATAAAGTGGTCTGCTCAGAGCCCAATTTTCACCAATTAAGTATAAGCCCAAGACAGCTGAGAATGAAAATAAGCACATGGCTGGCAACTGTGGGTCCTGCTGCCCAAAAAGATATTGTTCATCATTAAACCCAAGTCTCAAACTCAGCAGATGAGAAGTTCACACTATGAGATGCAAGCAAGAATGGAAATCAACTGTGTGACATCTCATAGTCACTCTGGGGCATATATTCAGTGACTGGTCCTGTTGACAACTACTTAATTATTTATTTGTTTTTTATATTATTTTAGAGGCAGATCCTCCCTCTGTTGCCTAGGCTGGAGTGCAGTGGTGCAATCATAGTGCACCGTAATGCAGAACTCCTGGGCTCAAGTGATCCTCCCACCTCAGCCTCCTGAGTAGCTAAGACTACAGGTACACACCACCATGCTAGGCTAGTTTTAAATTTTTTTCTGGAGAGACAGGGTCTCGCTATGGTGCCCAGGGTGGTCTCAAACTCTCCAGCTCAAGTGATCCTCCTGCTGCAGCCTCCCAAAGTACTGGGATTATAGGTATGAGCCACCACACCTGGCTCCACTTCATTATTTACATTATTTTTATTCCTTCATTCCTCTTTTTTTTTGCTGAATATGTATAATTAAATTCACACAAAGCATGTTAAGTGAATATATGATGTAGCTCCACTGCACAAGAGAAATTGTTTTTGTATTCCCTATTGCACCATCTTTTTAAAAAAATGAAGGCCCTGGATATCAATGACTTAAAACAGTGTCACATCAGGAATGAATGTCAACACCCAAACCAGAAACATGATTTTCTGTGTTCTAACAGAAACCTGTATGCCACCACTGAAACAAAAAGAAAAAAAAAAAAAAAAAAAAAAAAAAAGACATACTTAATAATATTAGTTCCAAACATAAAAGGAAAACATCATACCTGCAGAATATATTGAGTGAGGTCAACTGCTTCTTTCTTCTCATGCACAAGTAGAGTTTCTTTGTCTTCTACAGTAATAATATTAATTTCTCCACGACGTACCTCCCTCATGCCCAGGGGGCGTTTTCGAACACAAACTCTGATTTTCTCCATCTCAGTCCAAGGATTCTGTTTCTCTGAAGCGTTCTGTCTAATATATGTTTATAAACAGGCTTTTAATTTTTAATAATAGGACAAGATTACTTAACAGGTCAAAGTATCAGTACATTTTGCTGTATATTAGGCATAATATATTTCTTAAAGTTACAAAGTAAAGGGTCAACCCTGAGAAAGTTCTTCTATCTCCATCCCCACCCTACTCCACCTCTTCGCCTGCAAAAACATAAAAAACAGAACAACAAAAACCAATCAACAAACAAAAAAACCCCTAAGAGATCTTATATAGGATACTATTTTATACAATTGTTTCACATCAATTCTGATTTTCTTAGCCCTCCAACTGGCTGCTGAAAAAAAATTTCTGTCACGGAGGCTGGAATGCATTGGCATAACCACGGCTCATTGCAGCGTCGACCTCCTGGGTTCAAGCAATTCTACCTTAGCCTCCCGAGTAGCTAGGACTATAGGCATACACCACCACAGCTGGCTAATTTTTGTAATTTTTGTAGGGACAGGGTCCCACTATCTTGCCCAGGCTGGTCTTGAACTTATGGCCTCAAGCAATCCTCCCACTTTGGCCTCTCAAAGTGCTGGGATCACAAGCATGAGCCATCACGCCCAGCCTGGAAAATTATTTTTTTACTGGGATCTGAATTGGTTAAAAAAAAACAGCAAATAATTTTCTAATATAATGCACAAAGCACTACTTTTATGGCATGTTTCAAAGCAAATTTTATTTTCTTAACCAACATTTAGTGACTTTAAAATGCATCATTTTTGCATGAAACTGCAGGTGGAATAAAGAATGAAATGTACCATTTTGAGGTACTGTGGGAAAATCTTGACAATCATTAAAACTAGACGATGGGCCAGGTGCAGTGCCTCACGCCTGTAATCCTGGCACTTTGAGAGGCTGAGGCGAGCAGATCACTTGAGGTCAGGAGTTCGAGACCAGCTTGGCCAACGTGGCGAAACCCCATCTCTACTAAAAATATAAAACTTAGCCGGATGTGCTCACTTAAACCCAGGAGGTGGAGTTCACAGGTGAGATAGTGCCATTGCATTCCATCCTGGGCAACAGAGCAAGACTCTGTCTATAAAAAAAGAAAAAGAAAAAGAAACTGGATGATGGACATATTGGGATTCAGTGTTCTATTTTTTCTTCTTTTGCATATGTTTGAATTTTCACAAGAAAACAGAATTTTTTGTTTTGTTTTGTTTTGAGACACGGTCTTGCTCTATCACCGAGACTGGAGTGCAGTGGTGTGAGCACAGCTCACTGCAGCCTCAACCTCCTGGGCTGAAGCCATCCTCCCACTTCAGCCAATAGTAGCTGGAACTACAGGTGCATACCACCATGCCTGGCTAATTTTTGTAGAGCCAGGGTCTCACCATGTTGCCTAGGCTAGCCTCGAACTCCTGGACTCAAGCAATCTGCCTGCCTTGGCCTCCCAAAATGCCAGGATTACAGGCATGAGCCACTGTGCTCATCAAAAATGAAAAATGTTAATTTAAAAAATTTTTTTTTATTTTTGAGACAGAGTCTCGCTGTGTCACCCAGGCTGGAGTACAGTGGCACAATCTTGGCTCACTGCAACCTCTGCCTCCTGGGTTCAAGCAATTCTCCTACCTCAGCCTTTAGAATAGCTGGGATTATAGGCACCTGCCATGACGCCCAGCTAATTTTTGTATTTTTAGTAGAGATAGGGTTTAGCCATGTTGGCCAGGCTGGTCTTGAACTCCTGACCTCAGGCGATCCACCTGGCTTGGACTCCAAAGTGCTGGGATTACAGGTGTGAGCCACTGTGCCTGGCCTAATGCATCATTTTAATAAGGGTTTTGTGTTAAAATCTTTAGTTGTTGGATATCAATAACCTAATCACATAAAGCTGATCAAACAGGACAGAAAATGTTTAGTCCTTTTTAAAATTGCCCAGGGCTCAAGGATGACTCATATGAACAAAAGGCCCATAGTTTTCAAGTTCAAGGGGCAAAAAGACAGGCATGTTTTCTAAAAAGCTCAGTTTGGGCAGGGTGGAGTGGCTCTCACCTGTAATCCCAGTGCTTTGGGAAGCTTAGGTGGGAGGATCACTTGAGGTCAGGAGTTCAAGACCAGCCTGGGTAACATAGTGAGATCCCCATCTCTACAAAAAATTAAAAAATTAGCTGGGGACAGTAGTGTGTACCTGTAGTCCTAGCTACCTGGATGGCTGCAGCAGGAGGATCACTTGACCTCAGGAGTTTGAGGCTGCAGTGGGCAATACTGCACCACTGCACTCCAGCCTTGGTAACAGAGCAAGACCCTGTCTCTATAAAACAAACAAACAAATAAAGAGTCAAATAAATGAAATGGAAATGGTTAAACTAAAATATCCAACCTATCCTTGATGTTTTTAAATAATGCAAAGCGGTATTTTTATTTATAAGTAATTCCAATTTAGATTTTTATGTATTGTTCAATAAAAAAGTAATATTCAAGAAAATAGGCTGGGTGCAGTGGCTCACGCCTGTAATCCCAGCACTTCGGGAGGCAGAGGTGGGCGGATCACAAGGTCAGGAGATTGAGACCATCCTGGCTACCATGCTGAAACCCCATCTCTACTAAAAATACAAAAAATTAGCCAGGCATGGTGGCGGGCGCCTATAGTCCCAGCTACTCGGGAGGCTGAGGCAGAATGGCGTGAACCCGGGAGGCGGAGCTTGCAGTGAGCCAAGATCGCGCCACTGCACTCCAGCCTGGGCGACAGTGTGAGACTCCATCTCGAAAAAAAAAAAAAAGAAAGTATTTATTCCTTTACCACTGAGGTAACCAACAGAATAGCAACAATCTGCCTTCATAGTCAAGGAACAATCTATTCCTCTCAGAATTAAAAGAAGAAAACAGTATTATATGCTCTGTGATCTCCTAGACCAAACAAAATGTTTCCAGAAATATTATAAAAATTCGCTGATATATTTCAAATTATTAAAGATATTTTTACTGTTTAAACTGAGTCTTCTATTTTTATGGAGTAAAGAACTGATTATGAGATCTTCTGAAACCTTAGCCAATGTAAGACCAGATACAAATACTTTATCTTAAGGTATGAATAACAGTATTTTTAAAAAGAAAATATGGCTCAAGAATGAATTTTATTTTCCCATAACTAACATACATAACATTTAAAATAAAACAAGGAATACTTTTTTTTTTTTTTTTACAAGAACATATTTCCTACTATACCATTGTTAGTAGTAGGGATTACTTGTTATTTCACCTCTTAGGGACCTTATTTCAAACTCTAACTCAAAGCACTAGGTGAAAATAACTTATTGTCACCCTGACTCTCAAACTCTAATCTCCACCTACAATGTCTTACTGTTTGTAACCACCAAAATTGTTTTTTCCAGGGTTGAAACTGTAGAAAGCACTCAAAATCAGGATCGTATTTCAATGTGTGCAGGTGAACTAACTGCTCCAAAGACCTACTTAATTAAACTACATGCCCTTGTTTTTAACAAAGCATCTTTAAGTCTCCTGGTTGGGTTAAGTGAATTTGATAACCTTAAAAAAGTTCTGTGGATTGTGTAATTTTTTTCTCTATTGTAGGAGGGTTAACTATTTTACTTTCACGGATGTACTAGATGTATCATGTTACGCTATAATAAATAACAGAAACAAGTCTGCTACAGATCCTGGCAAGTCGCAGCTGTTTTGATGTACATGAACAATATCATCTTTCTCCCACCTAGAAAGTTCCCAATTTCTCATTAATTTTCCCACATCCAGGTATTCCTATTATTGATGCAAAAGCTGTTCATGATAATTTCTATTATATTCATTTACTGTAAATAAAGAGTAGATGCTGTCTGCTGGACATGAAGGAGAGGCCTGCCCTTGCCTAAGGCTACTTTCCCTCAAAAGAAAGAAAGATAAAATTTATTACCTGATACAAGAATGAGGGATTCCATAGTTATACCCTGAAACATGAGAGATTCTTTGAATAATGGGAATATCACAATCCCCCAGTATTGGAGAAAAGTAATTTGGTGAAAAGAGTGAAGTGCTGATTTCTGTTTGCACAAAGGAATCACCAGCTGTGGCATTCATAATTTCTGTTTTTGTATGGTACTGGGAATCATCTGGTAGCGTGTGCTCTAGCACTTTTAGGTAAGTGGACTTCTGTTCATATGCAGAGAAATCTGATAAACTGCACATTTCAAACCCATCATTGCTGGCATTTGTGTCTTTATTGTCAGCAGGAGAATCAAAATTCAGTTGTCTGCGAGGGCCAGATCTTAATTCCTGAGACTTGATGCGCAGGCTGCTTGTCTGAAGATGACGCTCTGGGATACTGACTGCTTTATCTTCTTCTTGCATAATCTTAATAATTTTGATAAGTTGGAAGAGACGTTTGCGGTCGTTCATGTCATGGACTCCTAATTTGGAGTAGTCTTTCATTGTAATCTTGGCTAATTCATCTATTTTCTGAAGGCCAAGGGCAGTGAAATGAGAATAATACTGTGCAAGTTCAGCTTCACAAAGACATTCATATAACCAGGATGCCATTTTGGTGAATAGGTTTCTATAAACTCTGAAGAGAGAAAGAAAAGCCATTCGCTTGAAATAGAGTATATGCAATACAATTATTTATTTTAAAAAATGAAAACCACAAAACCACAACATGCAAAAAATGTTTTATCTGTCAAGTTCTCAACAAACATATTTTTCTTGTGAAATTATTGATTAAATAGCATAGTGCATGAACAAAGATGCTTTGTATTGCACATGAAGAATTTGTGGTAACACATAATTTATTTGCTTAATAAAAAGAGACGTTCCATTATATATATATACACACACAGATACACAAATGAACACGTACATAACACATAACTTACTTATTTCTAGGGAGTTCCTTCCAACCTTGCAATGTCTACTTAACACATGCCACAACTATTGAAACCTTGTTCCCAACAACTGATTGTAGCAGGACTAATTTTAGATGCTCAACTTAATGTCAAAGCATGCTGCACAACTGTTTCCCATGAATAATGAGCAGGGCCTAAGAACTCTTTCAGAATGAAAAGTAGAATTAAATGGCATACCACAGAGGATTATAAACTAATGTAACTCAAAGGAAGATAGCATTTGTATTTGCTGAGTACTGGCAAAAGTTAGTTAAATAGAAGTAAAGACATCATCAATTTGGCATCAACCAATTCAGGATTTCAGATCATTCCAAAAGGTGGTCATCGATTTCTATCTGTACAGAATATGAATCAAATAATTTACCCAGGAAATTAATACTAAGGTCAAGATTTTAAATAGTTGTACATTTAAATGTTTTTTAAATTTTTTAACATCGAGATACTTAATTGAATACTAACACATAATGTGGTAAAAACACATAATCCTGGTCTATTATTAAAGTCAGGATCCCGAGCTCTCTATATGGCTGTTAATCAAGTTCATGAGAATATCCAAAAGTAAATACACTACATTTTCTTTTTTAAAATGGTTTTATAATTCAGAGTTTTCAAAAATTCAGTTAGGTAACTAGTGGTAAAACTTTCCTGTTTTCACTTTAATTTATATTTGATCTTCTATCTAGCAGAAATAGAGAAAAAGTAGAGGGTAAGGTAACAAAGATAATCAAAGAAACTTGAATAATTAGCTTTGGGGGAAATACTACTTAGGCTAAAAGGCTAAATGGGCTAAGTAACACATCCTAAACTAATCCTGGCCTTTTCTATTTGTGGTAGATTTGGTTTTTGTTTTGTTTTGTTTTTTTGAGATGGAGTCTCGCTCTGTTGCCCAGGCTGTAGTGCAGTGGTGGTATCTTGGGTCACTGCAACTTCTACCTCCAGGTTCAAGCAATTCTCCTGCCTCAGCCTCCTGAGTAGCTGGGATTTACAGGTGCGTGCCACCACGCTCGGCTATTTTTTTTTGTATTTTTAGTAGAGAGGAGGTTTCACCATGTTGGCCAGGCTCGTCTTGAACTCCTGACCTCGAGTGATCCACCCACCTCGGGCTCCCAAAGTGCTGGGGGTTACAGGCATAAGCCACCATGCCCAGCCCAGTTTAGACACTTTAAAATATATAGATACCTGAGCCCCATCCCAGATCTATAGAAAACCACAAAACAACCAGAAATAACTCCCAGGTTTTACGAAGGGCAGACATAAGAACTTCGGAAAAGTTCCCTAGGTAATTATGATTGTCTGCCGCTGATTTATATCTATCAAAATTACAAATGCAAATGCACTGATCCAGCAATTCCACCTCTAGGAACTTATCCTTATCCTTCAGATAATACATACAAGTACAAAATGACATAAGTGTAATGACATACATTACAGTACTGCTTGTAATAGCAAAGTCATGGAATAGAGACTGGTTAAATAATGATAGTCCATTTAATGAAAAAATGCTATGAGACAATTACAAGGAGTAAGTAAACTGTAAAATATTATTTACAAAAGAAAGCTATCCAACATATTGTTACTAAAGCAAGGTACAGAACAGTTTATAAAACAGAGAGATAAATGATATATAATAAATCTACATATTTGCTTATCAGACAAAAAATATCACTGAAGGATGCATAATAATAGAGGTCTTGAAAGGGTGAGGGGAAGTAGGTAGTAGAGGGTGATTATGGGAAGGAAACTACTGTATGCTTGTAAATGCTGGTAGTTATTACTACCTTTCCTATTGTCATTTCTATTTCACTGGTGTCTCTATCACCCAGGGCAAGACCTAAAACAGTTTATTTTGGCCGGGCGCGGTGGCTCAAGCCTGTAATCCCAGCACTTTGGGAGGCCGAGGCGGGCGGATCATGAGGTCAGGAGATCGAGACCATCCTGGCTAACACAGTGAAACCCCGTCTTTACTAAAAAATACAAAAAACTAACCGGGCGAGGTGGCGGGCGCCTGTAGTCCCAGCTACTCAGGAGGCTGAGGCAGGAGAATGGCGTAAACCCGGGAGGCGGAGCTTGCAGTGAGCTGAGATCCGGCCACTGCACTCCAGCCTGGGCCACAGAGCGAGACTCCGTCTCAAAAAAAAAAAAAAAAAAAAAAAAGTTTATTTTTTAAATTTTGAAACTATGTGACTGTATTTTTTATTTTAAAAATATATTTCTAAATAAAAAAATTATACATATTTCTAATTCCACCTCCCTTCCTCCCTCTCGGTCTCCCTAAATTGACCTGATACAATTGTTTCTTAAGATTTTGATGGCTTTCTAGCCTTTTAAAAAATTGTATATAACACTGTACTCATAACTATATTGCAATCTATGTTTTAATTTAACATAAACATTCTCATATGCTATTTGTTACAGGCATAAAAAACAATTCATACTATCATAAATATTTGTTGACTCGCTTAATTATCCCAGGGACATGTGACTTCTCTCTAAACTCCTGCAGAGTTTTGGTGATAAAACTGATAGGGCATTTATGATATACATACTCATTTTTTAAAAATTTATTGCCAGTCTTGTTCCAGAGATAATATAAGATGGTTCTGCCTTGTACTACTGTGTGAATTATTAAAGACAAAAGCAATATGATCCCACTCAGTCAAGTACTGTGCTAGATAGGTGCGCAACAAATTTTTTTTTTTTTTTTTTTGAGAGGGAGTCTTGCTGTCGCCCAGGCTGGAGTGCAGTGGCCAGATCTCAGTTCACTGCAAGCTCCACCTCCCGGGTTTACGCCATTCTCCTGCCTCAGCCTCCTGAGTAGCTGGGACTACAGGCGCCCGACACCTCGCCCAGCTAGTTTTTTGTATTTTTTAGTAGAGACGGGGTTTCACTGTGTTCGCCAGGATGATCTCCTGACCTCGTGATCTGCCCGTCTCGGCCTCCCAAAGTGCTGGGATTACAGGCTTGAGCCATCACGCCCGGCCACAACAAATATTTTAAGTGAACAGTATCCGCTTAGATTCTGTTCATTTAAAATATTTAGAAATGGGCCAGGCACAGTGGCTTATGCCTGTAATCCCAGCACTTTGGGAGGCCAAACCTGGCGGATCGCTTGAGGTCAGGAGTTTGAGAACAGCCTGGTCAACATGACGAAACCCCGTCTCTACTAAAAACGCAACAATTACTCAGGCATGGTGGCGCACGCCTGTAATCCCGGCTACTCAGGACGCTGAAGCAGGAGAATCACTTGAATCTAGGAAGCAGAGGGTGCAGTGAGCTGAGATTGTGCCATTGCACTCCAACCTGGGTGAGAGCGTGAGACTCTGTCTTAAAAAAAAAAAAAAAAAAATTAGAAATGTTCCATTATCGGCCGGGCGTGGTGGCTCATGCCTATAATCCCAGCACTTTGGGAGGCCAAGGCGGGTGGAACACGAGGTCAGGAGATCGAGACTATCCTGGCCAACATGGTGAAACCCTGTCTCTACTAAAAATACAAAAATTAGCTGGGTGTGGCGGCATGTGCCTGTAATCCCAGCTACTCAGAAGGCTGAGGCACTTGAACCTGGGAGGTGAAGGGTGCAGTAAGCCGAGATTGTGCCACTGCACTCCAGTCTGGCAATAGAGCAAGACTCTATTTAAAAAAAAAAAAAAAAAAAAAAAAAAAAAAAAGTCCATTATCTCTACTGTTTTGCCCAAGGCAACCAAGTGATTAAAAGATTCCATGACACCTGCTTATGTGGCCATAGAGCCATTTTCTCTGAGTTTCCTAATTCTTTACAAGTACCATCACCCAAATTAATGGCAACATCCTCAGGGTCCTTACAACTTTAAGAAACCGAATATCCACAATATTGTTACCAACTTCACTCTGAACACTTCATATGGTTTTAAAAAGCATTTTATGTAAAAGGCTAATTCCATTATGCCAGCAGATAGTCCACATTCATACTACTTTGATGATCTGATTAAACTAAAATGTACTGAGTTATATTTTATGCCAAGCACTACCTTAGATGCTTTATGTAAAAAATGTTATTCATTGTTAAGTCAGAATTCCATTTTTAAAAACTCGAAGCAAACTCCTAAAGTAAAAATAGTGCTTTCTGGCTGGGCGCAGTGGCTCACGCCTGTAATCCCAGCACTTTGGGAGGCAGAGGCGAGTGGATCACGAAGTCAGGAGTTCGAGACCAGCCTGGCCAGCATGGTGAAACCCCCGTCTCTATTAGAAATACAAAAATTGGCCAGGCGGCTGAGCACGGTGGCTAACGCCTGTAATCCCAGCACTCTGGGAAGTTGAGAAAGGTGGATTGCCTGAGGTCAGGAGTTCAAGACCAGCCTGGCCAACATAGTGAAACGCTGTCTCTACTAAAAATACAAAACAATTAGCTGGGCGTGGTTGGCGGGCACCCGTAATCCCAGCTACTTGGGAGGCTGAGGCAGGAGAATCACTTGAACCCAGGAGGCGGAGGTTGCGGTGAGCCGAGATTGCGCCATTGCACCCCAGCCTGGGCAACAAGAGCAAAACTGTCTCAAAAGAAAAAAAAAAAAAAATTGGCCAGGCATGGCAGCACGCGCCTGTGATCCCAGCTACTCTGGAGGCTGAGGTAGGAGAATCACTTGACGCCAGGAGGCAGAGGTTGCAGTGAGCCGAGACCGCACCACTGCA